TATTTGATATTATTATTATATCTATTTTATAATATATATTTTAAAATATAGAAATTGTGTGTGTTTTAGATTTGGATGAATACTTACGAGCAGAAACAACTTGTAAGGGAATATTATCAATGATACCAGACATAGTACTGTGAATCGAAATATCTGACAATCTTCTCAAATGTGAATGTTGAACCGGTGTAGTCATGTGTATATTAGGAACGTTTAATCCATCCGCAAATAATTGTGGATTACTTTGAATCGTTTCCACTGAAAAAAAAGAAAAAGAAAAGAAAGAAAAATAATTGGAATGTCAATTATTTTCTTTTCTATCCGATGACGCATTTACAAAGTAAATAATACTTACGTAAATGATAAGGCTGTCCATTTCCAAGAGGATACTTTTGATATCGAGCAACATTAACAGGTGGTAATAATGAAAATCTTGCTGATATCAATGGCTCGATTCTCGCTGCCACTGGATCACTCGGATGAAAAAGATTGTATACCTGATTCACCATTGGCCTTGGAATATTACTATTTTTATCTACGTGTGATGATATTTTTCTATATGCCATTACGAGTGCCAATGGACTGCCAAACATAAAGAATTCTCCTACCTCGAATTCTAATTTACATTGATGAGACCTGTCACTGACATAAAATCAATTTATTTTTATTTTAAATTAATTATAAAGAATCTTTGATATTAATATTATATTAGTATTAATAATAATATATGATATTTAATTTTAAATAAATTAACAACAACAAAAATTATAATAATAAAATAGTATATAATAATTATACATAATAATTAATACTAATATAATAATATAATTACTATTATATTATAAATAATACTATAATAATATTAAAAATAGAAATAAAATAAAATAATAAAAGAAAAAAATGAATTCTTACTTTGTACCGGAAGATCTTCTTCTTGGTGAAGGTGCACTCAAATGTTTTCCATCCTCGAATGTTCCATTATTATCGATTCCTTGATTATTCGGTTCTAATATATTATTTTCACTGTTATGTCTCGAATGATAATGCGTAGATCTACACAATGCATCGTAGGCCAAAATTGAACCTACGGAATCACCGATGAAACAAATTTGTCCACTGAAACCTTTACCCTCTTCGCTCTTTATAAATTCTTGATAAATTTGATTTGCATTTGTCACCACTCGTGTTACCGCTTCTTCATAATCCGAACTTGCACTTGCCAATAATGGTATTGCACCGATTGGTATGGTATCGTTCGTTACTTGAGGTGCATCCATGCATGATGGTGACATGTCAAAACTATATGGACTTAAACTGAATTATAACATTTTATTAATTAATAAAATATATTTAATAATAATATAATAATATAACATATAATAATATTTATTATACTAATTTATTATATATTTTATATATATATATATATATTATTAATATTATTATTATTATTAATTGGCATTAGGAACTCGAAAGTTTATTGCCGCAAATACCAAATCCCGCCATTGTTCCCGTCCCTAATATATATTTAATATATATTTAATTTATTAAATTTATTATATATTAATAATATGATAATAATATTTATATATTATAATAATAAAACATATTTGTTTTAAATTTTATAATTATCTGATATTTTTTTTTTTTTAGGTCGAATAAGTTCTATTTAAGACGTCTCGTTTTGAATTAAAATTTGTTTCAATAAAAAAAAAAAAAAAAAAATAGATGATGATGATGATTAAAATTAGTTGAAAATATTTTTTGATTTATTTTACCTAGAAAGAACACCCAGACCTTCGGTACAAATCGATGGACACGAAACAAATTTAATAGAAACATGTCCAACCATACTAGGATAATGTTGTCTCATGACAGATTCAAAGGCACCTCTGAAGGTAGTTACATCCGATTTTTTAGCAGTCAAATCTACATTGGCATCTATAATAATAATATAATAATATTAATTAATTACGTTATACTACAAGCGGCCATTGACTTTTGCGTTTCAACTTTAGCACAATTTTATAGATTCAACTGTTTAATCCTCTAACGATCGAATGTCCCCTTTCAAGGGACATCAGATTAGTCATCAGATGACATTGTTCGGATAAAGAGGACAAAACAGTTTAAGTTTTGCATTAGGCCGTACGTCAACCTGTTGTATTTTTTGGTGAATATTTGTTTACATCCCACTGCTATCGAACATTCGCACACACTTTCAGGGATCAATTATATGCGAAAGTTGAGCGGCCTACTGTATACACACATTAGTTGATATAAAATAAGAATAATAGTTTGTTTGTCAATTGATAATTACCTAAAACACTTCCAGCGTGCATTACTATTAATAATACTGTAGTTTTACAAGATTGATGTGTCGGAGAATGTTGGGGTGATGTCGGACAAGAAACGTCAATGCTAGTCGATGTGATAATTTGTAATCTTTTACTACGTTCACTTGCAATTGGTTGTAGAAACGACGGTGAGAATATCGTATCGGTTTCTGTAAAACATTCAATAATTATCAATTAAATAAATATAATTTTAATATTATTATTATTATTATTTATAAAATCATATGTGCAATGACAATTGTTTCCCAAATTATTTTTTCTATTCACGATGACCCATTTTCTTGAATTCCAATTTTGTCAAAACGTTCTATTTCAAAATCTAATTAAGTTCATTTTTGAACAAAAAAATGAATTTAAATAAATTGATCAACAATTTCTACATTGATTATCTTATCGCATTTGAATTGAAAATAAAAAAATAATATTACGAAAACGTTTGTAATATTTGACGAATCATGCAAACTTGTGTGAAACTATTGTCACATGATATATAATAATCGTTCAATTAAATGATAATAAATAATGGAAAAAAAAAAAAAACAAAGAAATGTTTAATTATTACCTTCCACGTTGTTTGTTATCGTTACAGGAGATGCACCATCGTCCTCTTCTGCTAGAAGATCCAAAGAACTCCATTTAGCTAATGAAGAGTTATCTTCAAAGTGCTCTAAAGTATAATTACATATAATTAATATCAATTGTGCACTATTATTTTCCATATTATTATTTTATTAATATTATTTCTTTTCTTTTATTTATTTATTTATTTTTTTTTTTCAATATAATATTATTATTCTTAATCCTATATTATTAATATTATTATTAATATATTATTACTATTATAATTATTACAATATAATTATTGTTAAATATAAGTACAGAAAGCAATCAAATTAGTATAAAAGGTAGGTGGTGATCAATTAATTAAATTCAATAAAATAAATAACTATATTAGTGCATTTTTTTTTTCTAAATTTCCCAGATAACGTCGTGTACACATGATGTAACCAAATATCGATTACTTCTATGGTCCAAATTCTAACGCGAATACATCATGCAACAGGTTGTTACATCGTCCGATGTTAGTTAAAAAGATTTTCATCGTTCGTCCAATAAATTATTTAGCCATGCATTATAAATCATGCTCGGGTTAATATATTCATACTTTATTCTAGGGTTAAACAACTATTCTAAAAAATTTATTTAAAAAAGCATTATAACATATTATATATATATATATATATACTATACAGTGTGTGTATTTTGTGTGCGCACGTGTATTTTTGTAGCTGTTCTAGTGATTAGAAGAAATTAATTAATACATACATATAATATATCTTATCTTAATATATATAAATTACGTGTCACGTTGTTTGTCCGCAATGGACTCCTAAACTACTGAACCGATTTTAATCAAATTTTACACACTGTATGCAATTTCATCCAACTTAAAAGATAGGATAGTTTATATCTCAATTTATAGCCACAATAAAGCGGCATAAGGTAATTCGTTGACTTAAAGACGTGTGTATCAGACTGATTGTGAACCACAGCAACGCGTGGCAGGACACCCCTAGTATATACATGTGGGATTCGTGAAATTGGATTGCTGGACCGACTGAACCAGAATTCGAACCATGGATCTTTCGCTTTCCGGGCGACTGCTCTTTAACCAATTGAGCTATTCAGGGCCCATCATCGACCAATCCTTGTCACGAATGTCCGATAAGTTTGGCATGGATGGCGCTCGTCCCACATGTATATATATATATATATATAATTTAGGGAACAATTTGTTTTATTAATTATTATTTATTATTAAACAATTATATAATTTTCTATTAAGAAACAAAAATGTCATTTGTTTATTCTAGCTGTTGTATAATAGTGCGCACACGCTTTGTGTGTATTTGTGTGTATTCTCTTCTAATGATGATGATGATGATGATGATGAACTTATTCATCGTTAACTACGCGTCCTACCTTTACATATAGTAGGTATAATGAACCCAGCTGCGGTGTATGTGTGGAGTGCAAGAAAAAAACAGAGAAGGTAGAGACATAAAAAAGACTGTTCGAAATAGTCAACACATGCTATTGTTGTCTTTTTAAGAGCTGACGACTTTTATATTTACCTATGAAAGAAAAAAAGAAAACAAAAGAAAAAAAAACGACAATTGAAAGAAAAGAACAAGAATAATGTAAAAAGATAGATAAGTGTAAAATGGATCAATTAAAATATATTGGATTGTTCGGAAAGTAATTTCATTTTTTTTTTCTTGACACAATAAAGTCATTAGTTTAATGCAAACCAGTAAATATCAAAAACGTAAGATCGATGAGAGGTTAAATTTATCAAATTCAACTATTTAAACCAACTTGAAGGGCCTAGAGGTTTAACCTCGAAACAAAATTTGTCTTCATTTTTACAAAAATAAAACAAAATTACTTTCCAAACACATTAGACACATTTCAAACTTTCTTTCGTATTAGAATGTATTGGATTGTCCAAAAAGTTCGTGTTGATTGATTTTGACGAAAAATTGGAAACGTAACGCATTTAAGGTTTTTTTTTTGTTATTTGTTATATATTTATTAAATTTATATGTATATATATAAGTGTCATTATGTTTCACAATTTTTCTCCATCTTTAAAGGTAACTACAAAATTGCATCTTTCCAAAACTTGTCAGGTTTTTTCTTTTTTTTTTTTAAGCAAAATAATTTTATGCCACTTATCGCAAAATCGGCACGAACTTTCCAAACAACCCAATAGATTCTGTCTACACTCTGTGATCATTAAAATGTTTTCTTTAAATACATACTTTCTTTTCTATTATCGCAAATATCAAACTAACGAAATTGTTTTTGAAAAGAAACCACGAAGTGTTGCAGAGCAATGTTGAATTTTTAGAAAATGAATAATGAATTAACGTATTATCTACGAGATGCATGGTTAGATAATAAAATGATGCACAAAATGCATTAGTATTATTATTATTATTATTATTATAATTTTATTGTTATTTTTAAAAATGTATCATGAAAGAATTGAAGAAAAAAAAAAAGTTAATTCTCTTGTTTATTATAATGATTGATATATACATCAAATTGTTTCTGATACTACTACTGTCATGCTTATTTTCCTATAATCCAATATCTGTTCGGATAATTAGAAAAAAAAAATATATATATATAATAAAAATAAAATATACAATTGCTTACCCTGACAATCAAAGAATTCCTCTTCGCTACTTGTTTCAGATTCTCGAACTATACTCTCCATTCTCCAATTAGCGATTTGCATGTCCATACTTTTAGCAGAACTAGGCGAATAATTTGCCGCATTCTTCTTCCATGATTTCTTTTCACTTTTATCATCGTTCGGACTATTACTGTATAAACAAAATAAATCAACAATTGTACAAAATTAATATTATAATAATTCATTGAATAATATTATTATGAATTTATATGGCGTATGATATTACGTGTATAAATTATATTAATATTATAATATAGTAATGGATTGATTATTATAATAATTATGCGTTATATGTTTATAATGCATTAAATGTCATATTAATACTGTAAATATAAACCCAACAATATTACAATATTATAATAGTAATGGATTGATTATTATAATAATTCTTCGCTATGTTTATAACGCATGTAATACCATATTAATACTGTAACAATAAACCCAACAATATTACAATATTATAATAGTAATGGATTGATTATTATAATAATTATGCGCTATGTTTATAACGCATGTAATATCATATTAATACTGTAACAATAAACCCAACAATATTACAATATTAATATTATATTATAATAATTTAATTATCATCTCAACCCCTCCCCCTTCCCCTCCCCAAAAAATAATATAAATTACAAATATATGCAACAATATTAAATAATAAATATTAAAACAAATTACTTAGTATTGGGTTGTTCAGTTGGAGAATCCTCAGGACTAATTTCTCCTTCAGAACTAACAGCTGTATTGATGATCGGTATATCCGAAGGTTTTCTGATCCTTGGTGGACTTTGAAGATCCTCATTTTTCTCGATACTACTCAAAGTAGCTGCTAATGTTCGTGCAACGTTTGTCTCTTGCGGTGTCATTCCAGTATTTCCCGTATTAGTATCCTGATCATCATCCCCAGTTATTTCTTCACCTGATTCGTTAAGACCCATCTTTTGTTGTAACGCTAATTGAGTTTGTCGTTCGATTTCTCGGATGTTTTCCATAGTTAAACCGTGCCATTCATCTTGCCAGGCCCAGGCTTGCCTGTGTGCTCGTGCCATCACTTTTCTCAACGCTACGAATTCGTTTTTAATTGATAGTTTTCATTTGTTTACCTCTTTTTTTTTTGTTTGTTTCTCTTTCTCTTTTATATTTTTATTTATTGATTTATTGATTTATTTATTCATTGTTTTTTTTTTTTTTTTTATCGTTTCAAAATAAATTCTTAACTTATTTTAAGATAAAAATATTACTTTAAATGTTACTTAACAAAATTTATGAAATAAGAATTAGTACAAATATGTATGTATCTATATGTATGTATGTATTTAGTAACAAAGTACTAACCCATATCGTGTATGAACTTTTCTAATTTTGTTTGCATACCCCAGTAACGAAATTCAACCCGACATAATTTGTATGCACACATTAATGATTTTCCCGATGTTGTTGGCTGCTGTTTACCCTAAATATAAGAAATAGTTTGGGTGTATCGTTCTGTATTGGTTTCTATTTTTTTTTTTTTTTGAAGTATAATAAAGTGTAATTTTTTACTTTGACATCAGCCCAATAATCTTCCAACCAGGTATCTGTTAATGGCCCTCTACCTGTTTTTTCGGAGATGTATAATTTAGGATCTTCTTCTTTGACATAATCTATTTGATCTTTTACTATGTCGATCAAATCTGAAAGGTTTCATATTATTATGTTAATGTTTCACATTTTTAATATGTTGATTTATTTTGCTTTAAGTATTATACAATTAATTTGTATTATTAAATTGATCTATATATTATTAAATGTAATCAAATTTAATTAATATAAATATTAATTATGATTCAGTAGAATACTATTCAAATAATATAAATATATATAATAATTATTTTTTAATATAATAATATAATAATATATTTTTATTATTTAAATTAAATAGACAATATTTGTGGAATTATTTGTTGTTCTTGTTGTTATTGCTTTCATAAAAGAAAAAAAAAAAATAGAAAACTATTTACAACATACCTACAACTCGATTTCTTAAATCGGCACCGCTAAGTTTGAAGACATTTTCTTGATAACCATTATCAGGAAAATAATATGTTTCTATTTCTATGGAAAATTTTTCGACAAATGGACTCGTGTAGCGCGTTTTTGTATACGGATACGCATTCCATGCTTCCTCTTTTGCTATTAATGCCGATTTTGGTAATAAACTTTTGAACCATCCTGGCAAATGACTACCAACATGATAAATTTTATGTGTGTATTGACCATTTCCACCAGGACCATTTGTATATGGTACATTATCTATTATTTCTACTCCACTTCCGGTACCTCTGCTTTCTTCGCGTGATTTTTTCTACAATACAACAAATTCTTTGTTCTATTCCTTGTTCTTTCCTGTTGTTTTTTTTTTTTTTAATTATTATTGTATATATAAACATTTGAAAGCGTTAACTTTATTTAACAAAAATTTCTTTAACCTGTTAAAGATTGCTTTCACAATTTTCAAATGTTTATCATTTGTTTTACTTATATCTGTCGTTGTTGTTTAGAAAATATGTCGAATTTAAATAGAATAAACTGTTTAATAAAATTGTGAAAATTGTGAAATTGATAAACAAAAAATTAACTAGATTAGAAATTAAATGAGATTGGAGTTAACATATTTACCGCTATCATGTAAAGTTGAGCAATTTGGTATTCCTCCACCGTAAGTGGCAGAGGAATTCTATATTCTTTGATCAACATTTTGATGAGGAAGATTGTTTATCATCCGTACATCTTTCTAATAGTTTACAAATAAAAATGAAAATCAAATTAAATCAAATCAAATCAAATCAAATGAAAATATTGTCCGTTGGTAGGAAGCTCTTCGTTAGATATTCTTCTTCCTGATGAAATATCTACGTTGTTTTAACGTTCCTTTAATTAATAACAAAACAAAAAATATTAATTAATAATTTGTACTCTCAATTTTTATCATTATTTTTCTTATATATATATATATATATAAAATACCTAATCTTAATTAATGATAAAACAAATAACAGAAAAGAATGTAATCGTAAGTTTAGTGTAATAATTATAAAATAAAAAAAAAAAGAAAGATCTTCGATTAGATATCAAAACGGAATGAAGTTTTTTTCATTGGTTATTGTCAACATGTATAAATCATTATCATTGGTTTCTTATTTAAAATACAAGTGACGTGATTGGTTAGATCAAAAAACACAACATACAAATTGATATTTCGTAAAGTAAGTAAGTATAAGAACAATTTCAAACGTAATACATTAAATTTACTTACGTAAGTATTATCCGTGACCCCAAATGATGTATAATAAAAGATGGGAAGAATATTTAAATTGTGGAAGGTAAAAGTGGAAGACGATAAAACGTATGAGGAGAAAGAAGAAAAAGAAAAAGAAAAAGAAAATAAACGAGATAAAGATAGAGATAATTTCTTTCCTCCTGTCGTTGAGAAAATACACGTTTCGCGCCACACCTACTATCTTTTTTTTTTTTTGTCGATACTGTAGCGCGTATTCAAATTTTGTCTAATGATAAATAAAAGAAGAAAACATTATTATCACAAAATTCGTATCATTAAAAAACTAATGTTAACGTTAAATGATTATCAACATTATTATTATACTATTGTTTATATTTAGAAAAAAAAAAAATTAAACAAAATGTTGTGTTGTTTTTCTTCCGGTTAGATTGATCTTCACGCAAGAATGATCTTTTGAATTATTTATATAAAAAGCTTCCTTTAAAAAAAAAACCTCACTGGACACGGGAAGCCCTTGGACGAAGAAATGAACTCGTTCCACCGACAAACACCACGCATTTCACACAATAGTAACACATATAACACTCACATATATAATATACATATATGTATATGTATATGTATATATGTCATACACCGTTCGTAAGAGACAGACAGGTATTATTTGTCTCTTTGACACTTTCCCTTTTTCGTTCCTATTATTTAAATTGAAATGAATTTTGATTATTGAATTATTCGAAATTAGACGATTATTGTATAATTCTTAATGACGTGTACATAGATCAATATGTGCGGCGAGGTATCCTTTGAAAAGGATCGATCAAGGTAACAAATCGATCGAGGTAACGATTATTATTAATAAACAATTCACAACAAGATATTATACCGCTGACGCGCGACGGCCAACTGACGGCTCTACTGTGACTCTCGTTCTTTACCCCCCCACCACCATCTAGCGCCACCACCGGCGTTACGAACACCCACGATCATCTCCACCTATCACGAGTCTTCACGAACTACCAGTACCGTCACTAGCCGTGGCTGCGCGCCAAATTTTAATTGCGTTTTTATGTAACTCGCGTTACATTGAATTTATTTATTTCATTTTATTGTATATATATTTTTAAAAATAACATTCCAACGAAATAGTTTCATTTCAATTAATACTATTACAGATTTTAACAACAAGTTTTGTTGTCATTCTTGTTTTATATATTTTTTTTTTTAATTTTATAATTAAACGTATTATATTAATTTACTTTTAATCTTGATGATTACAAAATGAAATTAATCGTTCATAAGATTGAAATATTTTCTTTTTATTTTCTTTTTTTCTTTTTTTTTTCTTTTTCCCTTGACAATATCATTATCAAGAAAGAAGTCGATTGAAAGTTTGCCTTCGTTATACGGATTCCTTTCGTGTTCGACTCGACTCGTACGATGTTGCTCGTATATGTTTTCAGTTGTCAATATCTTATTTTGATAAAAATACTTAATTAATACGTACGGCTTTGGTATCAATCCTAAATAATTAATCAAATTTGATATTCTAAATGTAACTTCATTATTCAACAATCCAAACTCTTTCATAAACCTGTACTATTCAACAAGAATGAAATTCAATACGTTATTATTAAAATTAAAATACAAATTATATGGCAATAATATAAAAAAAAAAAAAACCGACAATTAATAAGAAAAATAATGAACAAAAAAAAAAGATAAGATTAACAGAGTATGTTTATATTTGAAATAGGAAAGGATTAAATGATGGAACGTACGTTGAATAAAATCGATAGATCAAGGATTGTGGTATTTATTCTAGAAAGTGCATCATCTTCGTCGAAGAGTTGTGTTCTGAATCCGCCACTGGCCTGGACAACCACCTTCACCACGTCCTAGGGACCTAAGCTATTGATCGAAACCGGGAAACGAAGGAAGGAACGCGAAACCAGCTGCGCCGCGAATCATATTGTCGCCCCTCCATCGAGCTGGAAAACGTAACGCGTTTGCGCGTTTACATGGTTAAAAAAGAAACAAAAGACAAAAGACAAGAAAAAAAAGAACAGAAAAAAAAAACAAAGTAAAAAAAGAGAGGAAAAAATGATAACTAAAATCTGGCCCCGGATTATTATAGGAATGACCGGCTACGCGTTAACTGTTACTTTACAAGGATAACGTTTAATGAAAAGAGAACCGGTAGTTCTCTCTTACCGGAAATGATAAGCCAATCGGACTTTTCCTACGAAAGATTTATTATGTTCTGTATGTAAAAGAAATATTAAACGTGTTTTGATTTCAAATTTGTATACAATTGTGTGATCACATGGGTTTTTGTTCTTTTTTTTATTTTGCATTCATTTAACTTCGAATGAGAAATATTTTCAATTAACATTTTTTTGTTATCGGATTTGGATTGAATTTTTATAATGAATATTATAAAAATATTTCTTGATTATGAATATTATAATTAGAAGAACAAATATTTATTATATATGACTACATTTATAAATGAATTTTATTTTTAGCGGAGACAAGTTCAATGACCACCTATGACTAAATAATTTCAAACTGACCAAAATTGCGATATTTGATTTCTTATTAATTTTAAGGACAACCTTTTGGATTTTTTTTTTTTTTTTGATAATTATAATAAAGAAATCATTGATTTTTGTGATTTTTAATTTGTACGAATTGTTTTTCGGCATCAAGGGAATAACGAAGAAGAGTGCGAAACAAGGTCAGATTTGATAGAACTTGCTGACAGCCTTGCCTTCTAATTCGATTATTCCATACTCTAAGAATATTTCTCTCCTTCCAACTTACATATAATCCTCCTTTCTTTCCATCTTTCTCTCTCATTTATTATCACTATCATCATCATCATTATCATCTCGAGACATAATAATTTTCAATGTAAATTTAATAAATAGAAAAATTTTGTCATGCTACTTAAACAATAAAAGTTCTTTTTCTATTCCATGAAATATGCAATTATTCTAATCACATAACGGAATAAGTACATCAAATTTACATAAGAATATTTACTTATTTTTTTTTTTTAATGAAAAATGTATAAAAATATGATCAAATATTTTGTATTTAATTAAAAATGTTTATTTATAAATTTAGAATATATTTATAAATATAATACACGTTCATATTATTATTCATTCTCATTATGTTCAATAACCGGACTAGACTATCTTTTATCCGGTGGCCCAAATTTTGGAGATTTCTTTCTCTATTCTCTCATGTTTTTTTTTGGATGAAGATAATGGAGGATAAAAAAATAAAAAAGAAAAGTATTATATGATCTCCTACAAGATAAATTACGACATTACTTTATATATATATATTTTTACTCATTCTATGTTTTATTACTCTTGTGTACTTATACTTATCCAACACTCTTTTTACTCTTTATTTATTTACAACAACAACAACAAAATGAACAAATAAAAATACATAATATTAAATTTGTATATACGTGTAACATATTATATAATAATAAATAAAATGAAATACTACGAAATGGAAAATATTATTCCGGAATGTTAAATTTGAAATGGAAAGTGAAGATGTAATTGAATATCAAGAATTATATTTTCATAACTACGTTCCATCTTAAAAATTTCATTTTCTAAATTGAAATAACCAAAGCGTTAAATACGTTCCATCTATCCGAGATATTACTAAGATTTGTAAAATGAAAAAAAAAAAAAAAACACCGGTAAAACATATTTATTCAAGTATTTCGAAATGCAAAGTCAAACGATATTTTGATTGGGCAAATAAAAAAGTTATTTTAATAATCTATCTTATATCTTATATAATATGTAAATTTAGTCAAGAGATATATTACTAAGATATTACATAAATAAAAACTTAATTATAATCTTCTATTTATTCAGTGGTTCAGAAAGATCGTTTCGTTTTTTGTTAACGCAATTATGACATTAGTTGAGATGCAAACCGACAAATAGTAACACATGAGATCGATCGAGAGATTAAATTTATCAAATTCAACTATTTATGATCACTTGAAAGGTTTAGGTTTAACCTCGAAGCAAAAATTAATTCTTTCATTTTTTTTTACAAAAGAAAAATGAAACGACTTTCCGAACCATCTAATTAATGCTAAATTATTATAAATCGTTTTTCATTTGTGCGTAATTGATATAATATATTATATTAATATTAATAAATATTTTTTATAATATTTATTTGAAATTTCTCTTAATCCTTCAATTTATTATTATTATTATTATTATTATTATTATTATTATTATTATTATTATTATTATTATTAATATTAATATTCTATTACGTTATTTTCATTTTTAATTATCATAAATTTGTCTCGATTTTCAAAAAGACAAATCTAATTTCAAAACATATCAGGTAAGTATTTATAGACAAGAAAAAAAAAAAAAACGGATAAGAAAAATTAACATTATTCAAATAAGTAGTATTGACATTTTTAATGAGTCACATGTGAAACTTATTTTATGTTTTATTTTATTTTTTTTTTATTTTTTTCTGAGTAAAAGTTAAGTTGTATCATTACTCAAGAATATTTATCATATTTATCTTACGAGGAAATAAAATGATCATGAGAGATGTTCAAAAATATCTCTCAACAAATAATTCTCTACGATCTTGGGCACTTGTAAAATATCGAGTGTTTAAAAACAGAATGACTAAGAATTGTTATGTATTTTTTTTTTGCATATATAAATGTGCGTATATAAATGAATATGTGCACGTTAACACCTAACACATATACATGAATAACTCACAATCAGTCCGATACACATACGTCTTTAAGTCAATTTGCAATAAAATAATATTGCAATTATAAATTGAGATATAAACTATCCTATCTTTCAAGTTGGATGAAATTGCACAAAGTGTGTAAAATTTGATTAAAATCGGTTCAGTAGTTTAAGAGTCTATTGCGGACAAACAACGTGACACGTAATTTATATATATATTAAGAAGATATATTTATTTTTCCAAGAATAAATATTATAATTTATGAATATTTTACATTATGAGTTTTTCTATTAATCATAATTCTTTATATTAATTATTTGATCACCGTTTATATAACTAATGATATATTTGTCATTTTTATTGATTACTTTTTTAATTCTTTATTCTTACAATATTTAAACTTAAAACAAATTATATATTTTTTTGTTTTTTTTTTGTTTTTTTTTGTTTTTAATTCGAATGATTTATCTTCCTACGAATCATCAACTTCATAACCGTCCGGTGGAACAGGATTTCTTCTAGGATTGTGAAATAGTGTGTGATTACCATCCCCCCAAGGAAAGGGCTGTTAAAATGGAGCGTGTTAATTGATATCGACGATGATATAATTATCGGGACGCAGGCTTTAAACTCGTCCTTGGTTATTAAAAAGAAGAATAGAAACGAGAGTAAATATTTATGAAAAAAAAAAAAAAAAGAGTATCGAATGCACAAGGCAGAGAGTCGAGTTATTC